CCACCTTGATTGAGATAATCGAAATCTTCGACCGAGGTGAGACCGAGATCTTCTTTTTCCTGGTCGGTTGCTCCAGCCACAAGTTGATAGAAGATGTGATAGTTGCGTTCCTTGAGGGGCTGGAACACCAGCCGAGAACGCTCTAACAGATACGTTCTAATCTTAGCCCCAATGATGTTGTTCCTATCGTCAAACATGATCTCGATATACTTCCCGAACCGTGATGAATTGTCATTTCTTGTGGTTTTAGCATTACCGAAAGCTTCCATGACCGGATTTGTAGCCAAAATCTGCTCTTCGGTTTCACTGATTGCATCCGCCCGACTTGTTGTATACTTTCCGGGTTGGTCTGAAGATTCACGAGTCGCAAAATATCGCATGATGTATTTTGCGCTAACCGTCTTTCCAGCACCGGATTCGCCAGATACCACAATCGTTTGGTTTTTTCCATCTCGTAGCATGTCACTAAGTAACGCATGTAAGTAGAAGTTGAACAATGGCCATAGTCGTGGCTTACGCAAACGCCTCCTCCGCGATGGCGAACAAATGGGGTGCTTGTGAAGCACGGTGCTTTCCAGCGTACACCTGTACCATTTGTGGTACATAGAGCGAGTCAACCCTAGCGAAGGGGTTCGTTGCAATAAGAACTATGCCGCTGTATGTATATATCTCTTTCTGCGCGTAACGGAGTTTTATAGCCTGCAGAACTTTGGAGCAATCAGCGACGAGGTTGACTAGGCTACAGACGAAAAAGCGCACCAGCAGGTTCGTTCAAATGGGAAAGATTAGTGAGATCTTCACTGGCTTCCAGCATCGCAGGATTCATTAAAGGCGGTAATTTCGGGTTATTGTCCATTTGCAACTCGGCCTGTGTAGTCTCGAGCGTTTTCGTCTTCTCCCGCGACGAAATTGTTAGCCACGTTGATATCAAAATGCAACGCAAATTAAGGTCCACAGTCCGCGAAATACCTCTCCATTTTCCAACAGAAAGACTAGTTGCACTTTGTCTCCATCGACCACTTTCTCTTTGACCTCGGATGCAATCCATCCCTCTGTCGGGTCGGGCTGCCAGGCCCGCGTCCCAACCTCGTAGTTGTGTGCCATTGAAGTCGTATCACCTCTTAAATTGGTGCCCTGCGAATGAAAGGTATAGAAGATAGGTGGGCTATGAGGCGGAGATTATACAAGGCTCTGGTAGAGGCATCTAGTGAGAAATGAGGAGTCCGGGAACGAGATCGTCAAATGAAGAATTATAGCTTGCAAACAGCTAGCTGCCTTGTCGCTTTGCTCACCAAAAAAAAGAAAGAAAGAAAAAGGAAAGAAAACGTATTCATCCAAGAAGAAAAGCCCACTGAGGTGATGTGGTGGAACAGCTGGCTGTTATTGTTGAGCCACAACCCCTGAGCCCTGAGGAGCTTGGAAAGCTGCGCCACTTGTCAGGAGTCAGGACCACCATATCTATTGCACATTTTAAACGCCAAGAACATGTACTAATAAATCATTCTCGCAAAGGTAGTAATAACGTTATATATCTACTAGGTACAAATAAATCCATCTTTCAAAACTTACCCTTCACATATCTACCAAAATCTGTAGTCAAATCCAACCCTCTATAACGAAGGATTTGACGTCCAAAAGAAGCGAAGTCCGTCAAACAAGAGTGGTGTTCAAGGTCCCTGGATTTGATTTCAACCAACAAGTCAGTATTAAACCGTCGGTACCAATCGCAAAGATCTCCGTACTGCTTCCTGTCTGAATTTTGAATCTACCATTTGCTATGAACGTCTGCCCTCGCACTGACAATTGCTTGATAATCATTAAACATGGTTGACAATATCGTACTCCTCACGCCGCAAATATTTTAGAGGATAAATAGTGGAAGAAAGGGAGGGGAACAGCAACGAAAAGTCGGACGTAGGAACAAAAGTAGAAAGGAGAACATTAGATACGGGAGTATAGAGCCCTTGCCGGATGAATAGCACACGTATCAGACATCTAGACCTTGACGATGGATACGGTTAGATAGAAAGACTAGACGTAGATTCAACTTCGAAGCGAGAATCCCAGTCACAGCGGCGCGAAGTGAGAAGTAAATGCTAGGACCAAGAGGATAGGTTGCAACATGGCCCATATATTTAATCCCCTAAATGACTTCGGCCATGCTCAGCTTTGTTTACACTCTGCTGCTTCCTTCTTTGGCTTAGAGGTGCCATCCTATTTGTATGTCAGTGACTGCTCCGGAAATATTATATTCGATGACAAGACAAGTTAAGACTGAGGCGACGTTGTCATCGTAGTGAAGAATCGTGTAAAGGCAGAGTAGATTTGGAGGTATAAAGAGAGAGAGAAACCTTACCTCTTCCTCCGATTCATCGTCAACATCGCGATCGGATCTCCGGTCATCATCGTCGTCCTCGTCCTCCTCATCGTCTTCATCATCTTCATCGTCAAACTCGTCCGCATCCATGTCATCACCCAACTCCTCGAACTGAAGAGCCTCGCCGGTGAACCAATCGATTGCGCGTGGGATAAGTTTCTCTTTGATGTCCTCGCCAAGCTGATAGTCAAGTTCGAGGCGTTCTTCAATATCGGTGGCGATGGTGTCGTCATCGTCAGTTGGTGGTTGTGGGGGAGAGAAGAAATTGAAGAAGGATTCGGTAGGCACAGTGACCTTAACGACTCGGGTTTGTTTGGTGTCTAAAGCACGTTAGTTTTCCGACTGAACAAATCCAGATCAACGTACTCTTGTTGCGTTGCTTTTTACTCTCCACGCGAACAGTGAGATCCTTGTCAGCCTTCCAATCGATCTTGCAACCCTCCGCATGATCATAGATGAAATCACCACCATAGCCACTCTCTTCCTTGTAGTAATAAGTTTTTGAAATAGTCTTGTTAGTGAAAAACTCGTTTTCCGCGAATTCGAATATGAGTCGGAAACCGGGGCGATCAAGATATTCCATGCGAACATCGATTAGATGTTTGAGAGCCTCCTCATCCCGATCAGTGATCATTTCTGCAAGAGAGATCTGGTTCTTCATGGCGGAGAGCCAGAATTCAGGGATTCCAGATGTTGTGACGTCTTTCTCGTCATCCTGCTTGCGCTCATTTTCGGCCTTGACATCTGCCTCTTCTTCTTCTTCTTCTTCTTCTTCATCCTCCTCCTTGCCGGCATCGACTTCGTCATCGGTCGGTTCTGCAGCCCCATTGACAATCGTGGCACGTCTCTGATAGAGGGGTGTGAATTTGGCAAAGTACTTCTTTTCAAGCTCGAGGACTTCCTCCTGAAACTGGGCCTCGAGCTTGGCATGCTCCTTCTGAATACCCTTCAAGCCAGCAACACGCCGACGGACTGGGGCAGGGAGAGACTCGATGTAGCCTGATGAGCGCCCGACAAGCGATCCAAGTTTACCTTGAATCATGGACACAAGCCCAGGATTCCTTGCAAAAAGAGAAGCAGCTGTAGCGTGGTCGAGTGATTCTGACATATATGTTAAAAAAACCACGCCACCGCTTTACATGGAATGAGTTATTTACCTTCTTTGATACTTGCAACACCGGGTTGCTGGGCATGAGAAGAGATAGGTGCATTGTTAGCCGGTGTGTTTTGCGGCGTCCTGTCGTTCGATCAAAAGTTAGCAGGACGAGACAGGAGTCCAAGAACAGGTCGATAAAGCATGATGTATGGGAAATCAGAGATCAACGAGGACGGCTTCACGTACGGTGCGACCGGAAAGTCCGCCTTCTTGTTCCTAATAGGCTCAGACATTGCGAAAGGTTGTCAGATTAGGGAAATCAGCGTTGATTGAGGGGTTGTTGCGGAAGAGGTTTCGCAAGGGTTGAGGAAGAATTTGATACGCTTCGCTTTTGGGAGGTCTGGAATAACCTGGCTTGGTGGGATCGTTAGCGCCCTTGGGCCGAGGGGCTTGGCGGGACCAGTAGTGTTGAGAACCTCCAGGTAGTCGGCTCCCAACAGTAATAAATATACAAGTCAGTCATTATTATCACGATGGCTTACTATGTTGTTTATTCCTTGACTGAGCACCCTGTCTGCCTGACTCGATAGACTCATTGGATACTTAGGGATGGAAAGATATGTGTGGAAGCCACTTTTGACACTGTTTAACTCTTTTACCTAGTACTGATTGGAAACGGTCGATACACAGCCCATACATGCATGGTTGTTACCTACTCTCTTGGTTATTGTATGCAAAGATTTACCTCCCTAGTACGCCTCTGATAAGTACCTTCATAGTCTTTGCTGTCAGGCTCCTGGGTTATTACATGCCGCATGAGCTAGTTGGTGACCGCTATCGCTACCTTGGTATGCTAAATGTCTACACTGAAAAACAGAGAAATAGCTTCGTTTCTCCCCGGAACCACAGGGAGCATCACTCGCAGCACACTAAGGTACCTTGGTATGGGAGAGGTCGATGTAACAATGATCAAAACCACCCTGTTTATTAACATATATCACAAAACACTCAAGAGGTAGATGGTAGAGCCTAGGTATTTTGACTGTTAGGGTCATTCATGAAATATTTACATCCTTCAACATTCATGGGACAAGCAATAGCCTAGATTAGATATATATACGGGAACCGATTATACATAAAGTATTAATATTCTAAATACCTCTCTGCAAAACCACATCCCTTACAGTGCAAGAGATACTATTTATAAGACAGGATGGATCATCACTATAGCTCTGTAGGGAACTAGATAAATAGGTAATCAAATTAATGAAACTAGTCACGTGCTGATAGACGAACCTCCAGGCATTATCTTCGGAAAGCAGATTCCAACATTATTTAGCTCACGGAAAAGAGTACTTATTGAGTGGCATATCTAACAGAACTAGTAGCTCTTGGTGGACTGAGAATTCACTTTATCTATCTTTCTTAGGAATACTCAGTCTCACCATCCGATGACGTCGGTTCAAAATTGAGGTCTAACTTGTGAGTTGGCTGGAGAGCATAATTGATTGAAGCACTTGCAGCACAATGCGCTCCAGTTCAGATGACTTCGCTCAGCCAGTGCTCGAGACCTCATCAGTTGAGGGTGCTCCTGGAGCTAGTCATCGACGTGACTCCATGAGGAGCAGGTATGTTGACGATACTTCGTGTCTCTGCTGCGTGCCGTTAACCCTTCATCAGCTATAGTATTGTGTCGGATGTCGAGATGGCTCGGACCGAGGTACATTAATTATGCGTAACCATGCATCTCTCTGGAGTATGGATTAACCGTGGCTTGACAGGTCTTTGACGGGCCGATATCAGAGAGTATCCCTTCTAGTGTTGTCTCGTTTGCCCATCGCCGCGGCCGGAAGGACTCGATCGTCAGCTTTACTTATTTTCAAGAAGAAGATGGGTTCATTGAGTGGCCTCGCGAAGAAGTAATCGACGCTGAGAATGAATCTGATGAATTGTCGATTGGTGAGGCTAGCGAGGCAGATGAGTCCATTATATCTTCTCGCAGGTCAAAACGCCTGTCTTACTCCAGACCCTCAGCAGAGGATCCTCTCCTTCCGCGGCGCCCATCATCGACTTTCTGTACTGGAGAGCACACAATTGACAGCAGGCTCACCCAGAAAGTTTACATCGCATCGGAGGACTTGACCATTGTCATCGCTGGATTTTCAACGAGCTCCACAGGCTTGGCTCTATATTCTTTGCTATGCATTTTTACTTTGGGATTTGCATATATTCTTCTACGTTGGTTGCCAAGATGGAGAATCCGACTAATTGGAAAGCCGACGCCCCTTCGATTATGTCAGTGGGTCGCAGTGGAGGTAGGATTTCCTCGTTTGACGGTGTAAGGTCTTCGCTGAATATGTGCAGGATCAATGGAATCAATTCAGCATATGCGAAGTGTTGAGCATACCTTACGGACGTGTGCTTTCCACTGTCTTTGCAGATTCTGAAAGTTGTGCCCAGGACGAAGATAACGATTCAACTGTCTCATACCTGAGATATATTGATTATCGTTGTCTCCGCTTCTTTTACCACCCTGTCGAGGACAAATTTAGCTTGATCAGTGGCTGGAAAGATCCATTGTGGACGAATATCAAACGAATGCGAATCGGGTTGGACGCAGATGATCACGATAACCGTGCGCAAGTTTTCGGAGCGAATGTCATTGACATACAGCAGAAGTCTGTCTTTCAACTTCTGATCGATGAAGTAAGAGCCATGCTTTTGATTACGTATCGTCAAGTCCAGAGTCTCACAAAAGAAGGCGTTTCACCCGTTCTACATGTTCCAAATTGCGAGTCTTGTCCTATGGTCGCTGGATGAATACTATTACTATGCCGTTTGCATTTTCCTCATTTCGGTGTTCAGTATCTGCGCAACTATTCTTGAAACTCAAACGGTATGTGTTAGTCGTTTTTGAATTCAGGTTGCCGAAATAACTAAGCTCGATGCAGACGATGAAAAGGCTGAGGGAAATCTCACTTTTTGAGTGCGATACCCGCGTGCTTAGGAATGGCTTCTGTAAGTAAAAATCTTTCTGCGTGGGGGTTTGGCAGCCGAAGTTGATGTTGGACTACCAGGGAGGTCTGTCCCTTCCCGAGAATTGGTCCCGGGTGATGTCTTTGAATTCTCGGATCCGTCTTTGAATCAAGTTCCCTGCGACTGCATCTTGTTATCCGGAGATTGTATCGTGAATGAGAGTATGCTGACAGGTCTGTGAAACAATCACCTCCGTAATTTTGTTGTTTGACTCGAGACTGACTCTAGATAAGGAGAGTCCGTTCCTGTATCAAAGATCCCGTTGACAGACGACGCGTTGAAGTACCTTGACCTTAGTACTCCGTCTGTCCACCCGAATGTTGCCAAGCACTTTCTTTTCAGTGGAACAAAGGTCATTCGTGCACGGCGGCCACACAGCGTCGATGACGGCGAAGCCATTGCCTTAGCAGTGGTTGTAAGAACTGGTTTTTCGACAACCAAAGGTGCCTTAGTCCGTTCAATGCTTTTTCCCAAACCCTCAGGGTTCAAGTTCTACAAAGATTCATTTCGTTACATCACAGTGATGGGTGTAATTGCTGCTTTTGGTTTTATAGCATCATTTGTCAATTTTGTCCGCTTAGGTGTAAGTCTGACACAAGAAATGATACAAGTGTTAAGCTTACATTGCGCAGCTTTCCTGGCATTTAATCATTGTTAGGGCACTTGATCTAATCACTATCGTTGTGCCGCCAGCATTACCAGCTACTCTGACAATCGGCACCAATCTAGCTCTTTCACGACTCAAGGGTCACAAGATATTTTGTATCAGCCCGCAAAGGTTTGAAATCATTCCTCTATCTGTTATGATATTTTTCACTGAGAAACTGCAGGGTCAATGTTGCAGGCAAGCTTGATATAGTCTGTTTCGATAAGACTGGGACTCTCACAGAGGACGGTCTGGATGTGCTCGGTGTGCGAACTGTGACTCAGGATTTGAGGTCTGCACCACTTCGTATATCTTATAGATGTGTGCTCACTAGAACAAAACAGATTCACCGATCTAAAGGCTGATTTGGCTTCTCTGGCCTCCACATCTTCATCTGGTGTCGGAGCTACTGGCGGCCCTCAGCAACACAAAAATATTGTCCACGCTATGGCAACATGCCACTCTCTCAGAGTAGTAGATGGCGAGCTGATGGGAGATCCTCTCGATGTGAAGATGTTCCAATTCACTGGCTGGTCCTATCAGGAGAACGGAAGCGAATCTATAGAACCCCATGGTCCTAAGTACGAAACAATCATGCCACCCATTGCAAGGCCGCCTAATCAGATAACCGATTTGAGTGGTCAAATAGGGGCCAGTCAAACTGTAAGCGTACTTCCTCCCTCCATGGAAAACCCTATTAGGACGCGCAGCACATCACTGATTCAAACAACGACACGCTTTTTTAGGTACCAATAGAACTCGGAGTTCTTAGGAATTTTGAGTTTGTCTCGGAACTACGCCGTGCGAGTGTCGTCGTCAGACAGTTTGGAGATGGCGGAGCAAGCTTTTTCGTCAAAGGCGCACCTGAAAGTCTGAAGACCATTTGCGTCCCTGACAGTTGTGAGTCAACCACCGTATGGAATGTTCATATCGAGCCGAATGAACTGACGACCATGTGCAGTGCCACACGATTTCGATGAATTGTTGAGCTACTACACACACAAAGGGTACCGTGTCATTGCGTGCGCCGCGAGATACGAACCAAAACTCAGCTGGATGAGAGCCCAGAAGTTGACTCGAGAACTCGTTGAACGCGACCTTGAATTCATCGGGTTCATTATATTTGAAAATAAACTAAAGTCCAACACTACTGGGACAATAGCGGAACTCAGTAATGCAGGCATACGAAATGTCATGTGTACGGGCGATAATATACTTACGGCAGTCAGCGTGGCCCGAGAGTGTGGCTTGATTCGAGCGGATGAACAGTGTTTCATACCAAGATTTGCGGAAGGTGAGTTTACCGCAGTTAATTTATAGCAGTCGTTGACCAGAATAGGTCGTCATCACGATATTGGAGCGTCTCTGGTGTGGGAATGTGTTGATGATCCGGCGCTGAAGCTTGACCCGAGCACTCTATTGGTATTAACTTCGCCTGCCCTTGATTTGATCGTACAACTGATGGAATTTAGCCATCGTTGACTCCGACAAATGTGGATCTCTCCGTGCCCGCAATCGCGTGCAACATTAATCAGTATACACTTGCAATCAGTGGAGACGTCTTCAGATGGCTTGTGGATTTTGGCAACGATGTTGTTTTGAAAAGAGTGAGCATTCAAGCGAGATTCATAATCTTCTCTGGTTCCCATTTTCTATTTCCCGTCTAACACTTGCCCAGATGCTTGTTCGAGGAAACGTATTCGCCAGGATGTCGCCTGATGAGAAGCATGAACTTGTCGAAAGATTACAGTCCTTGGATTATTGTTGCGGATTCTGCGGGGACGGTGCTAATGACTGTGGTGCATTGAAAGCCGCAGATGTCGGTATATCCCTCTCTGATGCCGAAGCATCCGTTGCTGCGCCTTTTACCAGTCGTCAGTTTGATATATCCTGCGTTCCACAACTGATCAAGTCAGTGCATACCCATTTCTCATTTGAAGTAGATCTTCTGCTAAGCCAGCAACAGGGAAGGCCGCGCTGCTTTGGTTACCAGCTTCTGTTGCTTCAAGTACATGAGTTTGTACTCCGCAATTCAATTCTCGAGTGTCAGCTTCCTATACACGTCAGCATCGAATCTTGGCGATTTTCAGGTGAGTACAGTAAATACTTCTCAGGCTAGTCTCGCTAACAGTTCCAGTTTCTGTTCATTGACCTGGCGCTCATTTTGCCGATTGCAATATTTAGTAAGCATTCTAACCCTTCTTCAATACTATGTCGATTCCACAGCTAACGGTTCGAAGTGGGCTGGACTGGCCCATATCCTGTGCTTTCCCGCAAGCGACCAACTGCAAATCTTGTGTCACGGAAAGTGTTAACTCCACTGCTTGGTCAGATATCCATATGCATCTTTACTCAATTCGTGGCGTTCAAGACTATCCAATCGCAACCATGGTATGTCAGCGTGCATATGAATATCCACCGGAAGCCTCATTAACAACCATTCACAGGTTTCAGCCTCCAAAAATAGACTTGGACAATAGCAATATAGAGAACTCCGAAAATACGGCTCTGTTTTTGACCTCAATCTTCCAGTATATATTTACGAGCATCGTTCTGAGCGTGGGACCACCATTTCGGATGCCAATGAGTGCGAACAGTGAGTATTAGATCCTTGTGCTCGGATTAAAACTGACTAAATCAATAGAACCCCTGATCGTTACAATTGTCGTTGACTCAATCGTGTCAAGCTACATGCTCTTCGATCCACCGGCGTGGATAATCGAAATTATGCAGCTGACATCTATATCCAGAGGTTTCGCATTTTGGCTTTTTGCACTCGCTATCAGCACATTTCTACTTTCGTTCGTCACCGAACGCAAGTTCTTCCCCATACTCTCCCGGGCAATTGGTCATTTGAAAACACGGCTACGCCCGGGAAACCGTAAGCAGCGCCGTCAATATAAAGTGCTGCTTGATGAAATGCAAATATGAGCTTTGGATTGGGATACATACATAGCATTGGATATTAACGGTAATGCTATGGAGCGATTTGACCGCACTGTGTGAAATCTTCCACCTCGCCGCTCATTCCCGCTCGAAAAAAGGTAATCTTGAAGTATTGGGCTGTGCATGGCGAATTGAGACGGACATAGGGTTGATTCTCATATTTAACGGTCATCAATGGTCCCAAGGATGCTTCCAACCCAACAAAGCGGGACCATCCTTCTTCGCACGGTACATGAGCTGAGAGATGGTGAAACCATTAAGTCAGCATGCTTCTTAATATAGAAATAAGAGTGGGAAAGCTCGTACAAAGAACCACATGCTGGCACCTAAGGCAGTTGCTGTGAAGCGATAAAGCGGCCGTGCCGGATGAATGTGAATAGGATGGTTCGCAGCCATCTTGGTGCTAGCAAGCTCAATTAGAATATTATCTGAAGTCTAGGCCCGGAAATATACTTGCTCAAAAGAAGCTTCTTTCAGACTTGCGAAGGCAATACAAGTGCAAACACATGAGAACTGTTTTCAGAGATGGTCAAAGGCAAGTCCAAGTTCAAGGGTCACGGGAGCTCCACGTGACCTCAACCACTTATTTATGCAAAGGCGGACATCACTCTATTTACCATGTGCTTGTGACTAACTTATATAACATTGGTTTCCTAAGCGATAGGTATGGTACATGCATATTATCGTGTGGGGCTAATGGTAAATCCTTAAATTTGAAATTCTGAAAGATTTATTATACACGTCAAAACATTGAAACCATTAAGATTGACTGTCTTGGCCTGATACATACTTTAACTTTCTCAGCTGCACCTCCTTATCTCTTCAATCAGTCGAAATATAGTATGATATTTCCCTACATCATATGACTGGCTCGTCTGTCCCTAAAGTCCCAAGGTAGGTACTCTTCCCATTCCCTCCAAACAATATCCCAATGGCTTACTGTGTTAGTGGGTCATCATTTGGAGCACGGACATTCAGCCTTGTGTAATTTCTGTCGCGCACGTTATTCTTCACTTGAAGAGCCAGATTCTTAATGAGAATGGCTATCGCATCTCTCGAAAGGGATGGCCATGGCAATCCGAGATTCCGGGGTTGTACCAGCATCCGTGATTTTGAGTTCTTGGGTAAGCTGGGAGAAGGTACCTTTGGGTCAGTATCGTAATGCATGATTTGCAATACTCTTGTCAAAATACTGATTGCTGAAAGGGAGGTTTACAAGGCACGTTCGAAGAAAGATGGGTCTATAGTTGCACTAAAGAAGATCCTCATGCACAATGAGAAGGATGGTGTCAGGTTATTCGATCATGGACAACATTTCCAGAGGCTGATAGAATCTATACCAGTTTCCTATCACGGCCCTTCGTGAAATTAAACTGCTGAAGATGTTATCGCACCGCAACATCCTACAGTTAAAGGAGATGGCTGTTGAACGAAGCAAAGGTTTTGCCGTTGCTTTCCCCAAGAGAAGGAGAGGAACTAACTTAGTACAGGGGATGGACGCAAAAAACCGAGCATGTACATGGTGACTCCTTATATGGAGCATGATCTTTCGGGGCTGTTGGAGAACCCAGCAGTGAATTTCACTGAACCTCAAATAAAATGCTATATGCTCCAGCTTCTTGAAGGGCTTAAGTACCTACACGGTGTATTCCTTCCCCTTTACTGTATGACCGGGGAGCATTCTAATGTATGAGTTCAGAACCGCATCCTACATCGTGATATGAAAGGTCAGTCGAAATCCATTCAACACGCAGATAACGGCAAATTCCTGTGCTGACCCGTTATAGCTGCCAACTTGTTGATAAGCAACAACGGCGTACTTCAGATTGCAGATTTCGGCTTAGCTCGGCCATATGATGAGCCTCCACCTCAGCCCGGAAAGGGTGGAGGGGAAGCTAAAAGAGACTATACCACGTTAGTTGTTACACGGTGGTACCGGCCCCCGGAACTTCTTCTTCAACTTCGACGTTATACAACAGCTATCGATATGTGGGGTGTTGGGTAAATATTCCGCACTCTTGCTCCCGTCTTTTGTTCTTACTAACCATTGTAGGTGCGTTTTCGGCGAAATGTTCAAGGGGAAACCGATTCTTGCTGGAAGCAGTGATCTCAACCAAGCCCAGTTGATATTCAATCTTGTTGGAACACCGACCGAGGAAAATATGCCCGGCTGGAGTTCTCTACCTGGCTGCGAAGGCGTCAAAAGCTTTGGGTATAAACCAGGCAGTCTACGTGAGGTATTCAAAGAGTAAGGCCTTGCCTTTCTATGAACCCAGAATCCAACAGCACATGTCCTGAACGTTAAATGGAAAGCCATCTGATTCGGGTCACAGTCAGAGTCCTATGGCCATATCCCTGCTTGAGGGGCTTCTCAAGCTTGACTGGCGGAAAAGAATCAATGCTATTGATGCTATAAACCATCCCTACTTTTCCAGCCCGCCATTCCCAGCCCGACCTGGGGAGCTCCCTAGTTTTGAGGACTCACATGAATTTGATAGGAGACGTTTCCGTGGGCAACGAGGCGCCATTCCCCCGGCACCTGCAGGAGGCTCTGTGGGTATGGGTCCAAACAGTGGCTGGGCAACTAATTCCGGGGCCAGACCAGCAACAGACAACAGAAATAGCCGTATTCCCGGTGCTGCTCGCGTTGGCCGGCTCCATGCACACGCTAATCAAAACCATCCTACAATGCGCCCTTTTGAAAGCCGGAATGCTGTATCGCATGGGTCTTTAAATGCGGGGGAGTCATTTCCAGGCTTCTCGTTGGGTTCAAAAGATGGCGGCTTGCCTCCTAAGCCTCCTGCATCTGCTCGTCAGTCATGGACCATGAGTCATTCAAATAGGTCGACGCGTGAGAGAGGTCAACGCAGTCATTTTGGAGGATGGCCTGACGGGAAACTGGATTCGTACGTCCCGACTTACAGTGACGCTAGGGAACATTCTCGAGAAAGGAAAGGCAATAACCCGAGTTCAATTGTTGATCGGCGTGATCTGGAACCCGAACAATCTAATGAGGGGCATAAACAGGGTCATTCTTGGGACCGATATGCTTCAAGAAGACGAAGCCGGAGTCCTGACTTTCGAGCGGCAGCAGCAGAAGATCGAGCATTGTATCGACGATGATAAGCTCGTAGAAACCGATGCAGAGACGCTTTGCCAATTGAACTTTGTGAGGCTCTTGTTGACCGGATGATTCAACGTTCATACTTCTCCTGCTGTCTATGACTTACTAAAATCCAGGCAGCTGCGGTTCCAATTGGCGGGTCTCTCCTTCAGTTCTAAGTTTGTGCCTTGCCAGTACCGGCGAGTGCATCTGTCGCCTCATGGAAGGGTATGGTATATACCTTCTTCGCATGATATCTGAGGAGAGCAAGAACGTACAAATACAACTGCAGAAGGTGAGTAATGCATTGAGTTCGTATTGATGAATACTGACGAAGTTTAAAGCATTCAAATCTGGAACAAGATTTGATCTTGTTCGCGCACCAGCGTGTGTGTGAACTTGGGGTGGAATCCATGGTCACGTTTAGGGCAGGCCAACTGTAGACGAAATGCCAACAAAGGAATCCAAACTATATTATATTTGTTGATTCCAGTGATGTTAAAATTCTCCCCCATTTTTCCGTCTCTATTTCCTCTATTTACTGTTTTGTCCTCTTGAGCACCTAAGATTGGCACTGTTCATCCATGGAATGTATCCTCCTCAATACACATGGTCCGGACTTGGAGTCCTGCAGCATTCCCGAAGTTGGGTGAATATTTTGGGGGCTGTGCAAGAGCCTAGTACAATATTCTGGTCATGATTCGGGCTAGATTAACACAAATGTCAGCCACGTATCCCTTAAATTCTCAAAGGGCCACACATACAGGACAAGCTTTCTAGTCTTTCATACAATTCCTTGATCGTGGCATTGTTAACGTTACTGATATCGGCCATAAGATAGGCCACCTGGACAAATTTAGCATTGCAATATTTGAACTGCCGATTGACGTATCGTCACATACATCGCCTCTGCTATCAGTCATTTGTTTGTCAACATTATGGTCCCCGAGAATCTCGTTCACTGTATCAAACATTAGAACGTCAAATACCTCATAAAACAGTTGATCGAGTCAAACCTTTGCGCAGAACTCCAGGGACGTTGTGATGAATGTAGATGACCTAAATGAGAATTCAGCGGTTGCGAACCATGCTGTAATTGAGAGTACGCTTCAACCTACCCGGGCATGGTTGGGTTCATCCATTGTAAGAGAGCGAAGAGTAACTTCAGGGAGGTTGACGGCACCGAGAGTTGAGCCTTCATTGACGTATCGTACTAATGCTTGTCCTACCTCGACGCCAATGGCACTCTGTGCTTCCTCGGTGCTACCTCCGATGTGTGGAGTCAATATCACGTTCTTGAGACCACGGAGATCCGAGGCCCAAGTGTTAAGATCATCATTGAAATAGTCACCATTGCCGGCAGGCTCGTTCGGGTAGACATCGAGGGCAGCTCCCGCAATCTTACCAGAACGCATTGCATGAATGAGGGCGGGAATATCCACAACACTTCCTCGGGAAGCATTAATCAAATAAGCCCCAAGCTTCATTTGCTCGAATTGCTGTGAACTTATCATGTCCTTCGTTTCTGGTAGTTCAGGAACATGGCACGTAACAAAGTCAGACTTGGACAAAAGGGCTTCCAGCGTCGGCACTTGCTGGGCAGTACCCAGCGCCATCAAATTCAAGACGTCGTAGAAGATGACCGACATGCCCATTGCCTCGGCCAAAACAGACAATTGGGCACCGATATGACCATAGCCGATGATTCCTACGAAGAGAATAAGTCTCGATTCCAAACTTCAAACAGGACAGGCCTACCCAAAGTCTTCCCACGAATTTCCCAGCACTTAGCGCTTACTTTATTCCAAGTACCGCCATGCATCTCCATGGAGCGGTCACCTAGCTGACGGGCAAGGGCAATAATCTCAGCTATGACCAATTCGGCCACACTTCGAGAGTTGCTGAAAGGAGAATTGAACACTGCAATGCCATGCTCGGCCGCGTATTGAAGGTCAACCTGGTTAGTCCCAATACAGAAACACCCAATGACGATTAGATTGCGAGCTTCCTTGAGGACGCGGGATGTGAGCTTTGTTTTCGACCGGATGCCAATCACATGCACATCACTAATTCCAGGAGTATAGACAGTCAGCTCAGAGCAAGTCACAAATGTTCCTCCAAACTAACCGTATCTTCTCTATTAATTGATCCTCCGGAAGTGAGGATTTGAGGAACTCCACTTGATAGCCTTGTCCTGTAAGGATATCGCGGCCAGTTTGATTCACGTTCTCCAAGAGTAAAACCTTGATGTCCTCTGTAGCGAAAGGTTTTAAATGCTTTGCATTGGGTAAAGGGATCGTGCGGCCTGCAAACGCAGACCCTCCGTGACTCGATGGTGCAGACTGAAAGGACGCCGTTGGGGAGGTGGAAAGGTTCGCATTCTGAGAGACATTGAGGTCTCGGCGTATATTTATGTCTCGAGCAGACGTCGTCATTTTGACAATAACCAAGTGAAAGCAGTGGAAAAGCAAGCACTATAGTGAAGCTAGAGAGGGAGGATTTCACAGTGAATTCAACGTTTGAAAAAATATTGGGAACGATATAATGACAGGCTCGCCGGAATCGGACACCGATTGTAAATCACGACATCTCACCAATCTGAGTCATTAAGGTCGGCGGGGCTCTTGTGCTTACCCCTCCTATCGGAGACATGTGGGAGGCTCTGGAAGCTCCACTTCGGCTTGCCTAAGATAACGCACCACTTTCTCAAGGATATCAAGCCCTAACTAATATGTAAATATGCAGGATACTTCATGGCACCGCCAAGTCATTTTATAGTCCATATATTGAATAGTAATGTATCTAAGATAAGTACCAGATGACACGGTAATTCTTGGCGTTAAAATGGGGAATATTCGTTTCCCGATGAATGAAGCCTGAGCTCAGCAGAGTTGGTTTCCACAGGAAGAAAGTGTCAATCACACCCATTCAGACCCGAAGGTCCTGTAGCTTCTTGGTAGCTTCCCCGGTGCCAGCTGCAGTTTTAGTGTCCTGTCTGCTTTTGGATTTATGGGATGTCGTGTCTTTAGGAAGATCCTTGGTGTACGGCAAGAATTCGGGAGCGCCGGGGATATATTTTCTCAGAGGCTCGGGCACATTGAATCCCTATACTTCATTAGCAAATCAATGCTACATGATGTAGTTCGTTTTCGACACATACATCATCGGTTTGATAGTTCTCGAGGATACAACAAAGTGTACGCTCTGTAGCACACAGCGTAGCATTGAGCGCGTGGACATAGGATTTCTTGACATCAGTGGCTTTCTTTGTGCCGTAGCGTATTTCCAGAGCTCGAGACTGGTAATCGGTGCAGTTGGAACAAGAAACTAATTCCTTGTATTCGCCCTGGAACGGGAACCAGGCCTCGAGGTCGTATTTCTTCGACGCGGCATTGTTCAAGGCGCCCGAAACGATAGCGACGACCTGGTAAGGAAGACCAAGCGACTGATAAAACTCTTCTGACGTAGCCATCATCTCTTCAAAAACTTGCCATGAGTTTTCAGGCTTGGTAAGAACGAATTGTTCAACCTAGGGATGTATGAGCAAGCAAGCAGACGAACGATGACAGGCTTGTCAGAAATTACCTTCTCAAATTGATGGACGCGGAAAATACCCCAGGCATCTTTTCCATGAGCACCGGCCTCCTTTCGGTAGCATGTACTGTACCCGGCATATCTTTGTCATACTTAGCAATGAACACAGTGTCAAGCGCTGAGTTGCTCACTTGATTGGAAGATCTTTGTCCTGGATCCATTCTCCGTCGTGCAGGGCGGACAGCGGTTGTTCAGAGGTGGCTATGAGATACTTGTCGGTAGACTTGTCATCGCTCTCAGTAACCTTGTACAGCTCTTCATCAAACTGTTCGAGTTGCGCGGTCTTCGCCATCAAGTCTTTGAGCATGAATTGAGGAGGCTGGTTCGGTTTGTACCCTTTCCGCCAAAGAAATTCAAGACCATAGTTGATAAGAGCCAGGTTTAGGAACAGACCGTAGCCTGTCAAGCAATATCCACGGTGGCCAACAATTTTCACACCACGCTCCGAATCGTACCCATCAAGGCGAGTAAGGACTTCGTGATGAGAAAGACAATTGCGCTTCTCTACCACCATGTTTTCCGGGGCCCACGTCCTGACCACCACATTGTCATCCTTCGTATATGAGTTTCCGACACTAGTATCAAGACGTTGAAAGAGTAACCCACCTCATTATTGCTCACAGGCACTGACTCATGAACATAGTTCCCAATTGTCCGAATCCTACGATCTCTCCTGCTTTCCAATTCAGAGGCATGCTCGTCAGCCTCCTTTTTCCGCTTCTCCAGAGCGGCCTTCTGTTCCATCAAGTCATCCGCGTCCTCTTTATTCTACCCCGCTCTAAGCGTTAGAAACGAATAATTGACAGAAGAGCATTAAGCCCAAAGTATGGAGGAGGCTTGAGGGGCAGTATAGACAGTAAGGTTGCCTTAAACCACTTAGCAACAGACCTTCTTTCGCTTTCCGATTTCTTTTTGGAGCGCATTGAGCTCCGATCCTATTTGCATGACTTCGTAACGCGCTGCTATGAGTCAGAACAAATTCGTTCTACTATTCAGCAGCGCACTCTGGGGAAATATGTATACCTCGACGAGCCTCCTCATAGAGAGTAATCACTTCATCGACCACATTTTCAGGTGCGAAGCGCTTCCGCTGGCTCTCCTTGATCTTATTCGGATTTCCACCGCGATCGGAGACAAAATCGGCAAGGTCAAGCATCGTAATTCTATAATAGGAGGGCTAAGAAGAATAACCCACGAAAAGGACTTAATATATGAAGAAATTCAAGAGACAGATGAAGGACAAATGTGGGAAGGCTTTTGAGACAGTCAAACCCGGTGTCATGTGATTAGGTTTGGAGGGGTTGAGAAATTGAGGGGGATCGTTTTCGCTTGAGTCATCCGTGCATAAGGAGGGGAAGTCAATACTAAATAAGGTAAGGCACTTGGGATAATTATGTAATTAAGAGGAGTACATAGTATTATGTACCTGTATATACCTAATTAATCAGATTGCTACTTTAGGTAAGTTCAGATGTTCTAAACTACGTTTATTCTAC